TCCCACTCTTGGTACACTATAATAATTACCCAACCCCTCCCCTCCCGTCCACACAATTAACCTGTACATAAGCGCAGGGCTCAGTCCACCTGCTCTACTACGACTATCGGAAAGGCTATTGATTAATTGAAAATCTAAAAGGAAAGAAAATCCTGCGAGCATGCTACCCTTGCACTGCATAAAATGTTAAAAAGGAACCATACTGTGGAACACTGCCCTCTCTTTCTCTGGCCAGCTCCGGTGCCCCTGTAGCAATTCAGCCAGACCGCTGGTATTCCTGGGTGGCAGGGCGACTGCACTCTCGCTTGACCGCGTACACTGAGATGCCGACGAGAAAAGATTTAATTACTTTTTATCTGTAGAGACGATTTCCAAAGTTTGTGTCATGGGTTCCCTGTATGCGTCAATATGGCTCCTGTCTTTACTCCATGTGTGCTCTAATTATAATGAACACCATGATTGGGCTGGCTTTATACACGGAAGACAATTTCATTTCTCCCAGTTGCTGCGAGGTCTGCTATTCTCAACATCCAAAGTGCTGCGATTTCAGTATCTGCTGAGCGGCCCACTTCCTGGCTTTCTAGGATGGCATCTCTTGCGTGCTGGTTTTTCATCACCATGGACGAAAAGGGCCAATGGAAGTTGCCTTCAGCCTGCTATGTTCACATCGGATGGAGAGCAGAGGAGGGAGAAAGCAAGCTCTCTCCAGCTCTTCGTTTCTTTTTTTTTTCTTTTCTTTTTTTTTTTGCGACAGAGGTCTCACTCTATTCGCCCCCCAGGCTGGAGTGCAGTGGCGCCATCTCAGCTCCACTGCAAAGCTCCGTCTCCCCAGGTTTCACACCGTTCTTTCTGCTCCAGCGCCTCCCACAGTACTGTGGGACTATTAGGCACCCGCACCACGCTGGCTAATTTTTTGATTTTTTAGTTATGAGCGGGGTTCCCTGCGTTAGCCAGGAAGGTCTCGATTCCTGACTCGTGACTCGCCTGCCTTCAGCCCTCCCAACGTGCTGGGATTACAGGGCATGAGCCACCGTGTCCCGGCCACTCGTTTCCCAGGCTTTTTCACAAGAGCACTCATCCAGTTCATGAGGCCTCCACCCTCCTTGGGACGGACTCCGCTCAAAAGCTCACTCATTGTGTGATTAGGCACGCACGTGTGTTGGGTGATTGATGTTCAGCATACAATTAGTGTGAGGCGGCACCAAACATCTCCCAAAACATAGCAACCCAACCAAAAGTACTTTTTAAAAGGTGGAAATAACATAGTTAGTTGAAGTTTAAAAAAATGACAACTTGACTTGGAGTGTTGGCCAGTAGGAGAGAACTGGATGGAGTTGGAAAATAAATAAAAAATAATTAATATCAATATATAATGACAGATTCTGTGTGTTCTTTGTTTTCTTCTTCTTTTTTTTTTTTTTTTTTGAGACGGAGGTCGCGCTCTGGTCCCCCAGGCTGGGTGAGTACAGTAGGCCGGATCTCCAGCTCCACTGCAAAGGCTCCGCCCCCGGGCTTCCCGCCATTCTCCTGCTCACCTCCCGAGTAGCTGGGCTACTGGGCGCCTGCCACCCGGCCGGCTAGTTTTTTTATTTTTAGTATGAGACGGGGTGCACCGGTGTTAGCCGGGTATGTCTCGAGGATGGTCTCGATCTCCTGACCTCGTGATCCACCCACCTCGGCCTCCCAAAGTGCTGGGATTACAGGCTTGAGCCACCGCGCCCGGCCTCTTTTGTTTTCTTCTTTTTGAGATGGTCTCACTCTGTCACCAGGCTGGAGTGCAGTGGCATGCTCTTGGCTCACTACAGCCTCTGTCTCCACTGAAGGGATCCTCCTGCCACAGCCGCCCAAGTAACTGGGGCCCACGCCACTGTGCCTGGCTAACTTTTGTAGTTTTTGTAGACCCAGGGTCTCACTATTTTGTCCAGGCTGGTCTTGAACTCCTGGGCTCAAGTGATCCTCCCGCCTCAACTTCCCAAAGTGCCGGGGTTATGTTTCCACAGGACTTAGTGATTGATGGCATTGCAGTGTGTGAGGGGGAGAGGGATTAGGAGAAGGAGGGTAAAGGAGAAATTGTCAAGGGTGACTTCCAGGTAGATGAGAGCCATTTCCTGAGCCAAGAAATACTAAAAGCAGTAGAATGAGTGAGGGAATTGTTTTGAGTTCAGTTTTGAATCTTCTGAGTTTGATCCAAACAGACATTTTGAGTAGACACTGGTGTGTGCCTGAATGAGCTCATCAGGAAGATTAGACATAGATTTCTGCCTTTCTTTCTGTGAAATGACTTTTGGAGCCATGGATAAGAGAGGTGTGAAGAGAGAGAGCCCAGGATAAATCCTAAGGAATCCCCATATTTAAAGGTCCAAGGAGGTTGGGGAGGAGACATGCCCAAGGATCCTGAGATGTGGCCTTAGACAGAGAGGACCAAATGTGGGTGGCAAGATGGAAGCCTGAAGAACAGATTACTTTTTGTTAAGTCAACTCTTAAATATTTCAGACATGTACTACTTGAACTGAATTGAATTGCTGGATTCACTGAAGAAGACATTAGCCAGAGGCTAAGTGATATTTCCTAAACTAGCAGTCCCCAACCTTTTTGGCATGGGGGACCGGTTTTGTGGAAGACAATTTTTCCACAGATGTTGGTTGGTGGGGGATTGTTTCAGGATGATTCAAGCATGTTCCATTTATTGTGCACTTTATTTCTATTATTATTACATTGTAATATATAATGAAATAATTATACAGCTCTCCATGAGGTAGAATCAGTGGGAGCCCTAAGCTTGTTTTCCTGCAACTAGATGGTCCTGTCTGGGGGTGTGGGAGACAGACAGATTATCAGGCATTAGATTTTCACAAGGAACACACAACCTAGATCCCTCACGTGTGCAGTTCACAGTAAGGTTTGTGCGTGCGTCTGTGAAACTCTAATGCCTTCGCTGATCAGACAGGAGGCAGAGCTCAGAAGGTAATGCAAGCGATGGGGAGTGGCTGTAAATACAGATGAAGCTTCTCTCTCCTGCCTGCTTCTCACCTCCTGCTGAGCAGCTGGGTTCCTAACAGGCCACCATCTGATACCCATCTGTGGCCTCAGGGTTGGAGACACCTGTCCTAAAGTGAGCTGCTGGTAGGTAGGGCTGTGCCCAAAGTGGAGATCGTAGCTGTTGTCTTCCCTGGAGATCTTGGATGTGGTCTCCCAGTCCTGCTCCATACACCTCTCCAAGTGGCCACCACCAGCTAGTCAGACCGGCACACAAGAGGACAGACGACACCAAGCCACCTGTCTCACTTTTTAGTCGGTTTCCTCATTCCCATCAGCCACTGGGCTCTGCCACTGGTGTCTCCAGGAAGCCGCTCACGCTCATCCCTGCCTCCTCGGGGTGTCACTGTCACTGTCAGGGCCTTCTCTTCCTGACGCCGCAACGCTTCCTGCTTGGTCTCTCTGCATCTCAAGGTCCTCTCTGTCCACTGAAGCCTGCAAACATGAGAGAGCTCCAAATTATTCACCTGACATTTACACTCTGCACCCATGTTTTTAAGTGTCTGACTTTTTTGTGTCTGACTTTTTCCTACACTATATCTCTGTTGTATCTTTCAGTAGTTTGCTGTTTTATCATTACTGCAAGTCACATTTACTTTATTACTGTGTATATTTTCCTACAACAGATGATAACTTGCATTTATATTTATTTAATAAGTGTTTTAGGATTTCCTTTGCATTTGCAACATTTAGCGAAATTTTATACTTTTAGATGTATTGTACTTGTGGGTTTAAAATTTCTCTTTTTACCCCCAAGTAGTAGCAACTGGTCAAATAGCTCACCTATATAAATTATGAAAAGCAAAATTTGGACATATCTTGGAACATAATCAATGGTTTTTACTTTAATGACCTCATGAGGGAGTTAAGAATATTACTAATATGGTCTTTAACGTTTATCTTAGGAAATGTTACTAAGTTTTGAGGACAGATTGTCTGTAGATCTTATTCTAACTACTGATTGATTAGGTAACACTAGGCAAGCAAGTTACAATCTCTAACTCACCTTCTTCACCACATTGCTTATTTTTGGCCAGGGAAATGTAATATCTCTAGTACTCTGAGCACCACAGACAAATCAGCAGAAATTTAAATTACCATTATATTAGTTGACTTTCACTGACTTATGCAGTAGTAAAAAAACACCCCCAAATCTCAGTGGCTTCCCACAACGAAGGCTGTTCTCTGCTTCATAATATGGGCCAGCTAAGGCTCTGCCTTGCATGTTCTTTATTGCAAGACCTCACTAGAAGCAAATGTCTCCACTGGAGACAGGCCAATCTCTAGGTGGAGGGAAAAGAGCTTGTAATAGCTCTTTCAACTTCTGCTTGTCTGTGACACACATTCCTAGCACTGTAGCAAGTCTGATATCAAAGGGGCAAAAAATCCTCCTGTAGGGAGTAGCCTCACGGGGCTGAGCCCCGTGGGAGAGGCAATGAATGTATTGAATGATAATTCAGTCTACCTCAGGCAACATCATCCTTATCACCACGCCCACTCAAGGGAACTGCTGGAGCCAGGATCTAGTGAGAATTCGCCCCTCTTCCTATCCTAAAGTCTGTGGGACCACTTCATTCATGCTGACATCTCTGACTTCCATAAGAACAGATCATTTTCAAATAAAATGTGGATGCAACATGTAACAACATTAGCTCATTTTCTTAGCATTCTCATTTTCATACTGGCATACAGATCTTGAGTAAGCAGACTTTTGAGAAGGTCAATATACAGCCAAATCCACAAACACCAGGAATGGGTCTTCACAGAGGGAGAAGTAGCATGATGGAACCAGCATAGTTCCTGCTGCTAAGGGTTGCCTGGTTATGGGTTCAGGAATAAATAAGTTGAATAAATCAAAGCCAGTGAGCTCAACAGTCTAGAAGGTATCCCTGGTCACATTGCAGAGGTATTCTTTTTATTTTTTATTATTCTTATTTTGTTGCTGTTTTGTTTGAGAAAACAAACAAAACACTATGTGTCTCACTATGTTGCCCAGGCTGGTCTTGAACTCCTGGGCTCAAGAGATTCTTCCGTCTCAGCCTCCTGAGTCGCTGGAATTACAGTTGCACACCACCATGCCTAGCTTCAGAGGTATTCTTTGATTAATTGATTGATTGAGATAGGGTCTTGTTCTGTTGCCTAGACTGGAGTGCAGTAGTATGATCACAGCTCACTGCAGCCTCTACTTCCTGGGCCCAGTCGATCTTCCCACCTCAGCCTCCTGAGTAGCTGGGAACTCAGGTGCAGGCCACCACACCCAGCTAATTTTTTATTTTTTGTAGAGACAAGGTCTTGCTGTGTTGCCGAGGCTGGACTTGAACTCCTGGGACTCAAGCTATTCTTCCACCTCAGTTTCCCAAAGTGCTGGGATTACAGGCATAAGTCACCATGCCTGCTAGAGACTTTTATTTATTTATTTATTTTGAGATGGATTCTCGCTCTGTCACCAGGCTAGAGTGCAGTGGCGCGATCTCAGCTCACTGCAAGCTCCACCTCCCAGGTTCACACCATTCTCCTGCCTCAGCCTCCCAAGTAGCTGGGACTACAGGCACCTGCCACCACACCCGGCTAAGTTTTTGTATTTTTAGTAGAGACGGGGTTTCACCGTGTTAGCCAGGATGGTCTCGATCTCCTGACCTCGTGATCCGCCCGTCTCGGCCTCCCAAAGTGCTGGGATTACAGGCTTGAGCCACCGCGCCCGGCCAATTTTTTGTATTTTTAGTAGAGACGGGGTTTCATCATGTTAGCCAGGATGGTCTCGATCTCCTGACCTCGTGATCCACCTGCCTCGGCCTCCTAAAGTGCTGGGATTACAGGTATGAGCCACTGCGCCCGGCTAGAGATATTCTTAAGGTGTGTATAAGCACTTATCCCACTTGTCCAAAGTGAGACTGCCAAGCCTTACAAATAATGAACTCAAGGTCATCATATTGTCTGAGACCTGTTGGCCACTACCTGCCATGGAGAACTGACAGGTAACCTTGCTTGACTTTGTCCTTTGCAGGAAACCAGAGCTGGTATCGATCATGGAAGCCTTGTTTCCTTCTAACTCCCAGATCCACACCATGCCTTGATTTTTCTGACTGGAACCTTTATGGTTTAAAAGGCAGAATGAAACAACTATGAGAAATGTTCAGAGATCCTCACATGTTAGGTGTATTAGAGCTAGAGAGGAGCGTAGCTGGCCTTTTATCCAGTTATCCCTTCTTTCTTTAAATAAACCTCAGAAAGAGAGAGAAAAAGGTTGGTACAGAACCAACTGTGGCCTAATATAAGTGTTGATAAACTTTATCTGTAAAGTACTAGACAGTAAATATTTTAGGCTTTGAGGGCCGTACAATCCTTGTCCTAAGTACTCAACTCTGCCATTGAAGTGTGAAAGCAGTCATAAACAATATGTAAACAAGCAGATGTGGCTACATTCCAAATAAAACTATTTCCAGAAAGAGGGAGCAGGCCAGATGTGGCTTATGGGTCACAGTTTATCAGCCCGTGGTGTAAGAGAACGTGAGAAGAACTGGCAATAAGAAAACCTTTGGATGACTCATTGTTAGGCATTCTTTAATTCCTAACTAGGGAATGGGATGCCTTAAGGGGAACATGTACTCAAATGAGGATGGTGATTCCGCCTCAGCCTTGTGGCCCTATCAAGAACACAGTCCAGTGCATGTTGTTAGAGGAGGAATATCTTTTTCCAATCCTATTTTCTACAGTTAAAATTTCCCCATAGTATGAGGGAGGTGCAACCATTAATTTGATTGATAAATTTAAGAAGATAACTGAGCATCCTCAACTCAACCCTGCTCTACTTCTTCTTGGGGGGAAGTTGCTTGTAGAACCAAACATTCTCTGCTGAACCCTCATGCCTACACAGTACTCCGGTATAAGGAGACTTGATCGCATCCAGCATTATCTGGTTCTAGGTAAGAAAGTTTGCCTAATTTCAGATTTAATACAGACAAGCTAACTTGTTCAGCAAGCTTAATTCCTTGTTATCCAGCAGGGCTTCTATCACTAATAAGTATAATATTTTGTCCTCCATAATTTCTCTTCAAACTATATAATTTGGTGTGGAAGAAAGGACATTCATTGAGTGCCAACTCCAAGTCCCCAACACACAAAACAAAAATTTAATTTAATGCTTTCATTTGAGAGAGACCAATGAAATCCTATAAGTCAGGCTGAAGATTACCTGAGATACAGAGATGAATCAGAGGTGAATTGAACCTTCTTAAAACTGCAGCCTAGGGCCAGGCGTGGTGGCTCACGCCTGTAGTCCCAGCACTTTGGGAGGCCGAGGCTCTACTAAAAATACAAAAAATTAGCCGGGCATGGTGGCAGGCACCTGTAGTGTAGTCCCAGCTATTTGGGAGACTGAGGCAGGAGAATGGCGTGAACCCGGGAGGCAGAGCTTGCAGTGAGTCGAGATTGCACCACTGCACTCCAGCCTGGGTGACAGAGCGAGACTCTGTTTAAAAAAAAAAAAAAATGCAGCCTAGCTCTGATCCACTTTAATTTCTAACTAGATTGAAGTGATTAGTGCTTCACCCTATATACTTCACATGGGAAAAAATGAAGCCCTCTCTGGTGGAAAATAATATCATCTGGAGACTCTACAGTTCTTTTATGTACAATGCCTAATATATAATAAAAGACAACTAACTTTTCAATGATACAAGACCATATAGCCAATAATAAATAAAAATATAAACAGACAATAGAAGCAGACCAACAGACAATCCAGATATTGGAATAAGCAGACTAGGACTTTAAAATAACTAAATACTCTGTGAAAGTAAGTGGAGGAAAAGGTGGACAAAATGGATGAAAAAATGGAAAATTTAAATAAAAACTTCAACTTATAAATCTAATTCTATAAAAGAAACATAGACTGAAAAATACAATGATGAAAATTAGGAATTTATGGGAAGAATTTAACAGAAGACTAGACACAGCTAAAGACAGAAATGGCAAATGTGAGGAAAGGTCAATAGAAAATTATTCAAACTGACAGTGAGAAAAAAGCAAGAAAACTTGCTATAAGAGACTTACGAGTTACAGCAAAAGGTCTCACAAATGTAAAATTGGAGTCCTGTATGGAAAGGAGAAAGAAAATGGGGCAGAAGCAGTGTTTGAAGAGACAATGTCTGAGAATGAAGGATGTTAAACTACAGATTCAAGAGGCTTCACAAAATCTAGGCAAAATTAAAAAAAAAAAAATTCACTAATGTTATATCCAGACTACTGAAAACCAAAGACAAAGAGAAAATCTTAAAAGCTGTTACAGAAAAAACCACATCTGTAAGAAGCTACAATTAGACTGACAGCTGATTTCTCAACAAAACTATGGAAGCCATAAAATCATGGAAGAGCATCTTTAGAGTGCTAAAAGAAAAAGAAACTGACAACATAGAATTTGATACCTAGTGAAAATATCCTTCAAAAATGAAGATGAAATTAAATCATTTTCAGACAAACAAAAACTGGGAGA